ACCACTCTTACGATATCTTCTGATAGGTGTCATCCACTATCATAAGCCTTCTTCATTTACTCCATTTACTCACTTTCTCTACAAGTCTTCACCATGACCCTTTGTGCACCCAAGCAGACATTCGATGTACCAAGCGAGAATTTAAGATAATAAAGCTTTAATTACGATAGACATATAAATCTCCTTATCATGCTGAAACGTTTACATGCTAGTTCTAATATCGTAAGCATACGCTTAGAATCCTAAACACATAAGGTTTCCTGATCCAGTCGACAACGGACCATAGATCCGAACAAATAATATCATATATGACAACATATAACATTTAGCACATAAAAGCATTTTAGGCATCATTCCTAAAATAAACTAGTGCTTGTGTCAATTTAGGTGTACTATCTAACATATTTTAGACACACTACTCACGATCATTACTTAGCATTCTAAGTTTAAGTCTAGAAATCCTACAAATTCCTAGTTCACTTAAACTAATGCTCTGATACCAACTGTGACATCCCCATTTTCACGGCCAGAAAAGACCGATTTGTTTATGTTTTGTTTTATAAATTAAATTATTCGTTTAAAGAAAACGGTTGCGGAATTTGTTCCCAAAACAAAATATGATAAGAATTTATCAAACCATTTCTTTGAAGAAATGTATTTTCATTAAATAACAAAATCTTGGGATTTCATGTTCCGAAACAGACCAAAAGTATAAACAATATAAAATAGACCTTAAAACAATTATTTATAACTACTGATTTATAATCCATAATCTCTCGTCAAGTCCACCAACTTATACGCATGTGTCATTACCTGTAATGCAAAGAAAACTGAGTGGGTCAGGCTTGGGAGTCTGGTGAGCATATAGGGTTTTCAACCCACAATAATATAATTATTATATTTAATCATCAAACAATCAACCCAATTACCCATCCCCATTATCTTCCTTACTCTTAAGGGTCTACCCTAAGAATCATCTATTTGTTTACTTTGTATTAGGTACTAAGACAATAGCTGCCTGGATTCTTTATTAGGCACTAAGACAATAGCTGCCAGGATTCTTTATTTGGCACTAAGACAGTAGCTACCAGGGTTCTTTATTTGGCACTAAGACAATAGCTGTCAGGGTTCTTTATTTGGCACTAAGACAATAGCTGCCAGGGTTCTTTATTTGGCACTAAGATAATAACTTCTAGGATTCTTTATTTGGCACTAAGACAGTAGCTGCCAGGGTTCTTTATTTGGCACTAAGACAATAGTTGTCAGGGTTCTTTATTTGGCACTAAGACAATAACTGTCATGGTTCTTTATTTGGCACTAAGACAATAGCTATCAGGGTTCTTTATTTGGCACTAAGACAATAGCTGCCAGGGTTCTTTATTTAGCACTAAGACAATAGATGTCAGGGTTCTTTATTTGGCACTAAGACAATAGTTGCCAAGGTTCTTTATTTGGCACTAAGACAATAGCTGCCAGGGTTCATTCATCGGGTACTAAATCCATAGCTACAAGTGTAAGTACTAGGTCCATAGCTATCATCCTCTATCTAACAGTACTAAATTCATAGCTACCAGCGTTCATCTATACGGTACTAAATCCATAATTACCAAGGTTCACCTTTCGTCTCATCCTCAAACTCATCCTTCATCATACACCAACTATTTCGACTACTCATGTTTTACCCAATATATTTGTAGATATAAAATACATATATAGTTTAAATCATTTAAAAATTTGTATAAAACATTCATTCGACAACTATATCAAGTAAACAAACAACGTATAAACACATAGCACGTATTTCATAGCAAATACTTCATATCTATGCGGTAGAAGAAAGTAACTACACACTCACACATATAAACAACAATATATATATATATATATATACACACATACACATAGCACGTAATTTATAAAATACTCCATATCTATGTGTAAGATGAAAGTAACTATACAGTCACACAAAACATATACTTAATACATTCAAATAATACTTGTATTAAAATCGTGTTATGAAAGGGACTATACACTCACACATATAAACAACAATATATATACACATAGCACGTATTTTATAAAATACTTCATATCTATGTGTAAGATGAAAGTGACTATACACTCACTTGATCAGCAGATGATCAGACAGCACTACGGCTTATAGAAGTAGTATTCTTCAGTAGATCTGGAAGATCTTCACAAAATTTGGCTTCTCGCGGGCAGAGCTTCGGCTTGGAAACTCTTTTCTTCTAGGGATCTTCGGGCTTCGGGACTTGCTTCGTGTCTCGGGATGATACTGGGGCTTCGGGGGTTAAAATAGGGCTTAGAGAGAGTATCAGGAGTGGGAGAGTAAGAGATGAGCAACCAAACTCGGCTGACCCTTGATTTATATTTATAGGGTGAATTTTATAAGTTCACCTCGTGAGTTTCTAATATTCACCTCGTGAACTAGCTCACCTCGTAAGTTTATAATATTCACCTCGTGAGCTCGATACGTCATTGCATTCGTCATGGCCACTTGCCCTGGAAGACGTCCATTATCTGTTCACCTTGTGAATTTCTAATATTCACCTCGTGAGTTTTGACAGTTTTGGGGTTTCGCGTCCCGAACTTCAGAAATTCATAACTTTCGCATACGAGCTCCGTTTTCGACGTTCTTTATATCCACGCGTAGGTAAAAAAAATATCTACAACTTTCATTTAGACTTCGTCTGCTAATTTTGAATTTAATTTTAATATATTATTTTTAGTAAGCCGAAACAGGAAAACTCCGTTCGAAATTCATAACTCCTTCATCTGAACTCCGTTTTCGTCTGTCTTTTTATTGTTTGACTACTATTGATGAGATCTTCAATTCTCATTTAAAAAGATTTGGCTAAATATCACTCGACCTCAATCTCGACTTTCGGGCTGCATACTGCTAATGCTGAAACTTCGAAAAATCATAACTTCCTCATACGAAGACATATTTAGACGTTCTTTTTATGCATGCTCTCGGTTTAAAGTATTCTACGAATTTTATTTAGATCACTAAGGCAAAATATTGCTCTAACATAAATTCACTATTTACGCCGTGTTGTGTCGTGCCGATTTTGTCGCGAAAGTTCGACAGGTCATAACTTCTTCGTTATAACTCGGATTTCGGTGTTCTTTATATGTACGGAATCCTTGTAACATACACTATAACTTAGTTAAGATTACCCCTTCTAAATAATTTTCCATCAAAAAGTCATTTTTGATGTTTATCGTCTCTAAATTGAATAGCTCGGATTTACGGGCGTTACATGACCCTATAGAGACGACTTGTCGTTTGGACAAGTTTTATTCCAATTTTCATCCAATTCCAAATTTCATCCAATTTCAAAATCAAACATACAGTACAAATTTTCATCCAATTTCAAACATACATTCAATTTCATACAATGATACCACAATAAGCATAAACAAATCATACCTATATAACTTCATTTTCATTTTCATACCAAAATACACTTTCATTCCTCAAAATGCATATATATATATATATATATATATATATATATATATATATATATATATGAACATTGCATTCATGCATTCCCGTTTCCTTAAGCAGGGAAAAAAAATTCAAAAAACCAACCTTAAAATCGGTGGTGAAGAGAGGTACATCACCGAAAATTGTTTTTTATGGTGGTGTTCACCGTTGTCCAGCCGACAACATTGTTTTAGGGCTCCAAAACCGGAAAAAAATCCTCCAAAATCGGAATAAAAACTCAAGCTATTACTAATTAAGAAGAAATCAATGACAAAAACCTTACCTTTTAGACTTTTAGTTGGGTAATGAAGTGGAATGCTGGAAAAGACCTGGGATCGCCGAATAAATTGTTTTCTATGGCGGTGTTCACTGTTGTTTGGCCGGTAGCAGTGTTGTAGGGCTCCAAAACCGGAAAAAAAATCCCCCAAAATCGGAATAAAAACTAAGTTAATACTAATTAAGAAGAAATCAAGGACAAAAACCTTACCTTTTAGCTGGATAATGAAGTGGATTGTTGGAAAAGACCTAGGATCGCCGAAGCAATTGAGAGGAAAATGCTTGGGCAGTCGACTGGAAAATGAAGACTAAAAGGGTTTTTGTTACAGCGAAACCCTATAGAGACGACATGTTGTCTCTATAGGTAGACAAAAACGGCGGCGTTCCACTTCGTATCATTAAAAAATAAAACAAAGATCGGTCCCACTTTTTTCCAGACGACATGTCGTCTGGATAGCTTGACCAAAACGACACCTTATTCCGTTTCTTCAAGTCGGATAAAAAATAAATCAAAATTAACTTTTAAATACCCTATAAAGACGACATGTCGTCTGCGTAAGCTGATCAAAACGGCATCTATTGCTTTTCTGCGACAAAGAATTAAAATAAATCGAAAATATGTTTTTATTTCCTCCTTCCGACGACTTGTCGTCCGTATAGTTTTTCTGATCAACGCTATATGGTCAATGTTTGAATACTCTGTCCAGATGACATGTCATCTCTATAGATCGACTTTTGCCGACGACTTATGTCGTCTGGATAGGTGTTGTCTGCAAATAGTTAGATCCTTGTAGTGAAGCAAAAAAATTGTTCCAAAGTGTTTCGTTCTTTTCTTAATTCTTAGGAGATTGCCAATCTCGAATTTGGCTCTATCAGTTACATTCACATAAATAACTCATAATAACTTGCTTGCATCCAACAACATTTTAACAAGTGTTGGCTATGGCCTCTTTTGTTTTTATTTATTTATTTTATTTGCTGCTTTAGGAAAAAAAAAACAAGTGTTGACTTATTGCACAAACTTCCATGCATGCTTGGAATTATGAACATCAGAACATAATCCAACAATTAAAACTATCAAATCCCAGGTCTAGTTTTAGCAAGCATATAATCCCATAAATTCAAAGCCTTCAAACAACTCATATGAAGTCAAATATTCTACGATAAAACATCATAAAAACACAAGCTAGCTAGATCTAGAGAAAACTGTTCAATTCAAGGATAACGAGCCAAAGTGATCCTCATCGTTTGCAACACATGAAGGTGCAGAAATGAGCAGGGCCATGGCCTCACCAACTTTCTTCTTTAACTCATTTGGAGATTCGATCAAATGAAGCACTTCATAATTGTCCATCTCAAGCAACATATCCGTTACACTTGTAGCATTCTTGTGCTCAATTTGCTCCACCAAAGGATACAAGTATGCCCTAAGGATCTGCAATTTTGAGAAATCCGAAACTCTTAAATATTTCATAAATTAATCTATATCACTTGAAAAACTAATCATGTGACAAGAAATAATACCCGATGTTGGTTTTCTCGACTAGCAGAAGCCAAAACAGAAGCAAGTTTTCTAGTATCAATTGGTCCAGAAAGATGAACATCAGAGGACGATGTTACTTCTGTTGTGACATCGAAAGGCAACTGAACCATGTTATTGCCCATGACAACTTGATCCATGAGATTTCTCCCACTGAACACATTTACCAAGTCTTGGTTAGGAGTACTATCAGACATCACCTATATTCAAAACCAAATTGGTATTAAACTATTAATGTTAGTAAACAAATGAAGTTCTATCTAGATTTCACAAGTGTAACCTTTCATTCCAAACAACAGTTCTCATCAAATATTAGAAGAAAGTTGGTCGTCATTTTTTTCCATTAACCATTTGCATAACTCTCTCACTAAAGATATAATAATATATTGTTTAACAAAACACACCTGCCCAAGCATAGCATGAGTACTTCCGGTTCTAATTACAGGAGCCATGAAATTAGAAGGGCCATATCCAACCATTATTGGCTCGTTTGTCAAGTCATAACCAGGACTTTGCAATCCTGGTGCACCCCAGAGGACCCTAGTTTTATCTGTACTCAAATCAGTCACTGAACCAGATGCTCGGGCCTGAGAAAATTGCGCCTGAAAAAGAACATCAACCCATACATCTATGATAAAAAAAAATTATAAAAAAAATTGATGGTAAACAACACCATACGAAATAAACCCATTCCATGGCTCACATAGGAGATCAGAAGAATTTGGACCTCCTGTAGAGAATTCTACACCTATGACCTAACACCTCAACTATTTTAGGCTCTCATCACGGGTGCCCATAAATCTATAATAAGGGGGTGTTTGGATTAGATTTTTAGCTTATTGCTTATAGCTTATTTGTGGTGGAAATAAGCAATAAGCAATAAACATGGGGAGGGACGCTTATTAAAATTAACTTATTTAGCCTAATAAGCTGGATTTTATCCAAACACTAAAATTAGCTTATTGTGGGAATAAGCAATAAGCAGCTCTTTTTTTTCCTATCCAAACACCCCCTAAGTTCCTAATTAATACCTATTAAAACTTACTAATGAACCTGTTTTGAGTGTCACTAATGATACAATATGTTTCTGTCACAAGATATATAGTAAGTTAGATAACCTGTAATCGAGCCGCTCTTTGTTTTTTGCGTTCCGCTACGGAAACATATAATGCTTTTCTTCCTACCATCTTCCTGTTCATCTCAATCATCTGATTCAACATGTTAATTAGATATAATAATCAACAAAAAATAAAGCAAGACTTATGATTTAATAAAAAAGAGTAATCACATACAGCCTTCTTAGCTTCCTCTCGGGTAGAAAAAGCGACAAATCCAAAACCCTTGCTCACTCCTCGCGAATCAAACATGATCTAGAAATTATTTTAGACCAAAAGTGATCAAACTTTAGTATAAAATCATTAATTAAATAAACTTATTTCTAGCCCGGCTTTGAAAAAATATACCTTGCAAGATGTTATAGTTCCAAAGGGCGAGAATAAAGCTTTCAATTTTTCATCATCTCTGATGGTTTCATCAAGATTTTTTATATACAAATTAGCCTCTTTCATTTGTTCATATTGAAATTTTCGATCCTGATCAGAATTCGCTATTAATTCCAATATTTCTCGTTCAGTTTTGTTTTGAGCCCTCCTAACATACCAACCGATTCCATGCAGCGTTATTCAACCCCTCAATAGCATCAGTTGCAGCTTTTGGATCTTGAAAGTTCACAAATCCAAAACATTTAGACTTCCCATACATGTCTCTCATGATTACAACACTTGTAATGAAACCAAATTTCCCAAAAACTTGTACAAGGTCTTCCTCAGTTGTTGTCTCTGGAAAATTCTTTACATACACATTAGTAAACTTTAGTGACTTGTTTGCTTCATTTCGTTCTTCTTGGCGAATAAATTTAGCAACATAGATTCCACAAAAGATTTATGCATTATAGAGTTGTACAATACAACACTTTAAAGCACAAATTGTTGTGTGCGGAGAAAAAGTGTTGTGTACAAATCAGTTCCCTTAAATTAATATGGAAAATTTTGTATATTTTTTGTCCATATTGGATGCCATATTAGATTCCACAAAAGATTAGATACCGCTTTAGATAGCTGAAATTCACGCTGATGGCTTAGTAAAAATACCAAAGTTAGTTTGTTCCTCTATGGAATACAATTAAAAGATTAATGGCTTAAAGAACAAACTGATGGTTACTTTATGCCATTTTATGATATTAACCATATCTATTTTGAATCTTCTTGTAACAACAACCTTTTTAAAAATATATACCCAAACACTCCTTAAGCAACTTAAGTCTTTTTAAAATAATACAGATAAACAAACATAGTAATCACTAAAGAATGCATACCATCTTGTGAGGTAGTGAAATTCACATAGCCATAACCAAACGAAACCCCGTTCTCTTCATTTCGAGAAATCCTTACGGAATGAACTCGCGTCACCTCATTGAAGAGATCAAACAATTGACCTTCATCAACGTTCTCCTCCAAATCCCCAACATAAAGCGAAGAAATAGAATTTGATGCTGAAGGGGAAGTTGGACTCCCCGCATTAACTATCGTATGTTGAAGAACTAGTTCTGACTTTGTTGGTTTCGCCATACTATAGAGAGCAATCTAAACTACTTTGGATCAAAAGTTAGACAGTAAAAAACTAGTAATCAAATTATTTACAAATCAACTAATCATGTGAATGGAAATCCACATAAATAAATTTAGTAATTTGTAATATAACAGAATAAAAAAGAATCCAACAAAAATTACAAACCACAAACTTAACTTCAAAGTGTATGATCATATATTTTTAAATACCCAATTCATCAATCTTAAAAATATGAACGGTATATGCTTAATTCATTGATTGGAGTTGAAAAATAGAGTTCGTTTCCAATAATAAAACATGTGTCATTTAAAGTGTTTTTTGGAAGTACCAATATTCAAAAGTCGATGCCAATTGTTAGATAGGCTTGTTATCATTTTTTGGTCTTAAATATAAAAATAATTGATATATTATTCATTTATAAAACTTGAAAGTTTTATTTAAAGTTAAGCTACTGTTAGAAAATTTAACATTACAATTTTGATTTATGATTATTTCATGCCTTCCGGTTGGAATCTCATGTACATGGGTTGCGAACTAGGCTCATTTTTGGCCCATTAGCCGGTAGTATATAAACTTTAAATTCTATAAATGATTTTTTTTTTTTTACATTTTCAATCTCAAGAAATCCTACTAATTTCCTCATGTCTCAAGAACAATATTCACCTGGCAACTTAATAAATAATCTATTTAGTTTATGTTGTAATCGTGTTTTATTAGTTATAAAACATTTAAGATAAGTTTATAGGTGTTTATTAGTCAAACATCGGAAATCTCGGTTTTAATAAATGAAATTTCATTGTAGTATAGGAAATCACAGTTATATATCATGAAACATCATGTGGAAATTTGTTAGATGAGAATGTACAAGTCATTGATTCATACTCGTGCATTGCATCAGTGATGTATACATTCACATGTCATTTTTGCCAACTAAGAATGTACAAGTCTTTGATGTGTATATTATGCATCATTGACGTGTACATTCACATGTCACACGAGAGGAAATCGCAGTTAGCTCTTAATCATCTTTGATTTAGAAAAAAAAAAAAAAAAAAAAAAAAAATCATACATATTATGCCAACACAATATTGAGCTGATCATGGACCGAAAATAAGCCAAATCACAGCCCATGAAGGTCAGATCGCAACTAAGAGGCATGAATTCCCATATCAGTCTAACCAATAGCAATTTGTATGGCTATTTTAGAAAAATGCTTATTGTTGTTTGTTTTTTCTAAAGTCATTAAGAAATTTAGATATTTTAGTAAATTTCTTTTACTTTAATATACATAGATTAAATTACATGTGGAAGTAGAGATGAGTCCATTATACGCTTTTTATTTATTTATTTTGTTTCTCAAGGTTTGATATGTGGGAGTAGAGATGAGTCTATATATATATATATATATATATATATATATATATATATATATATATATATTTGTCTCTCACCATTTGATCTTATTAGTTATTGTTGTGTGTATATATATAATCTCAATTATCTCAATGGCATTTACATACGGATTAAACATAATATATAATTTAGTGATTTATATACTTGTTATGATGATTAATTAATTTTAAAACTTTATTTGTTTAAGATTTTAATTTCTATCATTGTAATTATTTAAAATATCAAACATTGTTTTCGTTTTTAAAGATAACAATATAAGCTTTGTATATAATGTTACTTTTAATTATTGTTGTAAGTATTTTAAAATAACACATTTGGAAACTCTTAATTACTTTTTTAAAATTTATTTGATGAATATTATTACTTTTTTTATTGTAACTAGGTGTGAGATCCATGTAATACACGGGTTGATTTAAAAAAAGATTAAACATTAAATCAAAATATAAACAAAAAATATTTTTTAATATACAATTTTAAAATAAGAAACGAAGAAAGGTATTTATTGCAATTTAATATTATATATTATTTAATACTTACATATACTTATGTATTTTTAATTTTAAAAATTGAAACAAATTAAAAATTGACAAGTGGATAATATTTATTTCAAAAATACCACAAAATGACAAGTGTCAAAACTAATGAGAGATTGATATGTGTCAAAAAAACATTTATTTATTAAGGAGGATTATTTAAAACAACAAACATTGTTTTTTGTTTTTAAAGATAACATTATAATTTTTATATAATATTACTTTTAACTATTCTTATTACAAGTTATTTTTAAGCTAGTTATTTGAAAATTCTTAATGATTATAAAAAATAGTTTCATGGTTTTATTTTTTATTTTAATTTAGAATTACAATGTGGGTTTAACACTATAATTTATAACTTTTAACAATTTACAAAATAGTGTCTCGGTTTTTTTCAAGCTTAACTGAAATTTTGATTTAAGTATAGGGTTTTACATTATATTGAAATTAATAATTTAGCCATTTTGCATAAAATCATAAATTATACAAAAATTGTGACTTTAAAATGATAATTTCTCACATACAACAATATATCTAAACTAATAAGTTAACTATTATATGTTCAAAATTTAAGGTCATAATTTTATAAAGAGAATTAAAATATTATATTTTAATATTGTAGTTTAGTTAATTTATTATTAGAGTTAATTTTTGTATTAATTTAACATTATTAACCAATTTATAATAATTATTAGAAAAAAATTGAAAAGTCATTGATGTTTCAAAGATATGTGGTGCAAGTAAAAATATATTTTTTATAACTATACTAGGCGAATACCCGCATATTGCGTAAAATACAACAATATATTTGAAATACTTTTAGATTTATGTTTTAGAATTATATTAATGACGTTGTTGTTAGCACTTATATAATAAATCTTATAATAAGTCAGTATAAACATTGTTATTTTTTAAATTACATGATAATATAAACATCTTTTAAAATTATATAATCTCAATTGTCTCAATGACTTCTACATGCGGGTTACTCAGGAATAAAATTAAATATAATATATGGTTAATTGACATTTATAGTTTTGTTATGATTAATTAATTTTAAAAAGTTTATTTGCTTACGATTTTCATTTCTATCAGTTTAATTATTTAAGACGTTAAAAATTGTTTTTGTTTCTAAAGTTAGCAACATAATATTTATATATAATTTTACTTTTAACTATTATTGTAGTAAGCTATTTAAAATATCATATTTGAAAACTCTTAATTATTTTACTTTGATTTTAGAAATTTAACTTTTTTAAAATTTATTTGATGAATATTGTTACTTTCTTTGATTGTAACTATTAAAAACAACAAACATTGTTTTTTACTTTTAAAGATAAAACTATAACTTTTTATATAATAATACATTTAACTATTCTAATTATAAGTTATTTTTAAGCTACTTATTTGAAAATTCTTAATGATTATAAAAAATATTTTCAAGTTTATTGTTAATTTAGGATTACAATTTATTTTTAACACTATAATTTATAACTTGTAACAATTTATAAAAGACAAAATTACATAGACGGTCCTCATGGTTGACAAAATCGACCAATTATGGTCCTTATGACGAATTCTTTACACAGATGGTCCTTGTGGTTTCAAAATCTTGCAAAGACGGTCCTTTTGACTAACGGTGTTAACTTTTTCAGTTAAGTCCTATGTGAAATGACATATTTGCCCTTCATGCATAAGGACGCTTTATGTAATATGTTTCTACCACAGGGACCATTTATGTAATTTTCTTTATTATTTATTATGTTTTTATTTATTTTAATTATATATTTAAGGATTTAGATTTGTTTAAATTTATTGTTTATATATATATATATATATATATATGTATATATATATATATATATGATAACATTTTTTAACGTTATGCTCAAATTATTTTTTCTAATCTTTTTGATATTTTCTTCAAGTAAATTTATTAATGTTTTTTATTTTGACGTTTTATTCGAATATTATTTATTTATTTATTTATTTATTTGACGTTATGCTCGAATACATTTTTCAACTATATAAGGTTGTATAATTATTCTTTTTGTAAACTAATGTATTAACATTTTTTTTATAAAAAAAGTTTAAAATGTTTGTTAAACGTGAATATGATTAATATAGATTAGGTAGACATATGCAAAGCTGAGACCGTCTCACAACGTTGTTGAGAACGACCAGGTCATTTCACATTGGATTTAAATCTAATTATTTCGATATTTTTTCTTTTTAGCAGTGTTGTAAAAAATCACAACGCAAGGGCCTCTAAACGGTTAGGTTGCGCTTAGGGATTAATCTGAGATTAATCGGGATCTAGTTGTGATTTTTTACAACACTGCTAAAAACAAAAAAACAAAAACTCGAAATAATTACAATTAAATCCAATGTGAAATAACCCGGTCGTTCTCGGAAACGTTGTGAGACGGTCTCAGCGTAGCCTATGTTTACGAAATCTATATTAATGATATTCACGTTTAACAAACATATTACACTTTTTTATAAAAAATGTTAATAAATTAGTTTACAAAAATAATAATTATACAACCTTATATAGTTAAATATTTGAATTAAAAAAATAATAATTATATAACCTGATAAAAGAAAAAAAAATGAAAACATAATTGAAAGTGAATTAAGTTACAAATTATAATTACAATAGTCGTGAAATCTTTTAACAAATATAAACATACTAATAAATAAATAAATAATATTCGAATAAAACGTCAAAATAAAAAACATTAATAAATTTACTTAAAGAAAATGTCATAATGATTAGAAAAAATAATTTGAGCAAACCGTTAAAAAATCTTAGCATATATATATATATATATATATATATATATATATATATATATATATATATATATATATATATATTAAACAGTAAATTTAAACAAATCTAAATACTTAAATATATAATTAAAATAAATAAAAAATAATAAATAAAAGAGAAAATTACATAAATGGTCCCTGTGGTAGAAATATGTTACATAAAGCGTCCTTATGAATGAAGGGCAAATATGTCATTTCACATAGGACTTAACTGAAAA